TGCTGCAGCTGTGTAAAAAAATCATGAATTCCATAATGTTTAGCTTTCGTAGTTTTTACTTTATGAAAACCTTATGCCTAAACAAAAGAAGGATTTTAATGTTTATCTGGCTGTTAATTTTTGCTAAAATAAGAAAAAGTGAAAGAAACAATATCTTTTTATTGCGTTTTTAATAATCAATAAGTATCAAAGAGTATGTGCTTGTTATTCGTATTAGGCAAATCTATTCTTTCACGGAAATTGCAAGTTTTGAAGCAATAAATTTTTAGCCAATCAAGAGATAGTCCGATCAATTACCATATCGTCAAGAATACTCATTACTCAAGCACCGTTTAACAAGTAAGATTTGATCAAACCTTAGCCATCTTCTCTGACAGCGAACTGGAAACAGTGAGTGTGGTGCGGAATACTTTTATTGCTTATAGTTACCTACTGCCCACTTGATTAGCCATTAATTGAAACTAATGAAATTATAAGTTACATAGACACAAGTATTGAATGTCTGGGGAGTTTTATCCACACAGTCACCCAGTCCAGAATATTCTACTGGGAATGAGGTAGCGTCGATATGTCGACATTTCACTTTCTACTACAGTTAATATTCGCTTCAGTGAAATCCACCAACTATTCCTCTAACCTACCAGCATTATTACTACGAACATGCGATATAAATTAGCAAAACAAGCATTTAACTATGGCAATTAAGCTCTGAATAGATCATTTTTAATGCGGAAGTAAAGCCGCAAGCTTCAACCCTTGAAGGTGACCATTGGGTCTGTACAAATTTTATAAAAGAGATCGAAGTACTCCGACGTCATTTTCGCATAGGCCGACTTACATTTTAGTTCTTGGGCAAAAATTGCAAGTTACCCAGTAGCTAATCGCCTATTAGTAAGTGGAATTCGTTTCATTTAGTCGTCAGTATGAATATCAGAGAATATTTTTTCGCGACGACATGAAAAAATCGTGTTACAGTTATTTATCGTGAGATATTTCATGACAAGACGAGGAGTCATCGGAAGAAATGAATGTCATCGCTGATGGTGGCATTAAAAAATTATCCCATTGAAGCAGATTACTCATGCACTACAACTTAAAAGAGTAGCTTTTTACTTTGGCAACTTTGGTCACTCACTCGATCTCATAACTGGAAAACTATAGTGTTGAAAGAATGCCTAATTTCTTTAGTTGAAATTTCACTCATCAGCTGATTAGAATTTTGCCCCCTGTCATAAATTTAGGACACAAACGGTATTAGAGCTGCCGATGGTTAATGCCTGTGAAAACTACGTGAAGCAGACACCTTGAGCACACCCTTTTTGTCTCCTCACTGAATTGATTTATTCAGTTGCTCTTCCTGTCTTCTAACTTTAGGGTAATTAACGGCGATGGGTGATAGACGACTCGGTTCGCAATGGCCTCTCCACTTTTATTTTGTTGCCTAGCCAGCTTATGTGCAAGCAGTACATAAACACTATTTATTTATTCATTTCAAAGGGCAGGCGTTTTGATAGTTATCATTGGCCCTTTAGCGGACTTCGGGCTTCAAGGAGAGGAGGAGGAACATCAAAATTAAGTGAGAAAATTCGAGAGGAGGAGCAGAAGAAAGATTTCAAGATGTAAGGGACAAACAGACACAAATGCAGAAAAAAGGTAATTTGAGTACTATAGAAGGGATAGAATATGCAATACAATGGGGCCATTGTAGTTTGAGGTCAGAAGTCAACTGCCGATCAATAGACTTTTTGCAAGTCAGAAGTCAACTGCCGATCAATAGACTTTTTTGTCTTTGAGGTCAGAAGTCAACTGCCGATCAATAGACTTTTTTGCCGAATGAGTATAGGTTGCCCAGTGTGCACCACGTAGAGGTAAGTCTATCGCACACCTCACATAAACAATATACTTCATTTTTAAAGTGATTGTTGAAGTTGTCGCTATTTTGATTACGATGAATGGACACGAATTCTTTGTTCGAAAGCAACATAATCGGGAATTCAGTCTGTTTACTGGCACAAAATCACATAGGCAGATTTTTTACCTCAAATAGTCAATATATAAGATATGTGATCAAAAATGAAATACTATTCTGGCCATCAAAGTAAAAATTCCTCTTAGCCAAGATTGTAGTGGCGTCAGCACCCAATCTCCGAAATTTAGTCAATTTGAGTATTTTCTTTCTTTTGCAATTAGATGAATTTTAACTAGATGGTGAATGCCATGGTTTTCTTTTGTGATCAAATACTTATCTCCCCTGGAGGCCAATATCTGAGAGAATGCTTCCATAACTCACCGAGGGTTAAGCTTTAAAAGACCAAATCTGAGCCTTGAAGAAGCCTTGTTTGAGAGTCTAACATCTTCCAATCTTGTTATCATTCGGTAAATATTATAGCTAAAGCCGTGAACCTCATGGTCATTTTCTCTCCTGATAGGCTCGGTATTAGGCTGGTATTAGTTAGCTTATACAGGTTTGGTATGGTATGAAGTTACAATATTCGTCGAAATGTGAATTTGAAACGATCAGCTACCATATAAAATCCAAATCACCATATTTGAGGATCAGAGATTAGAATAACGATAAATGGCTGACTTAATCACTTCTTCTCCTTTATCCAAATTCTTGTCCTCTGCTCGATCAGATTAGTATGATGTTGCATTATATTCGTAACCTCTTACCAGTGCGAACAACACGCTTTATGCTTGCCCTGTGACAGTACCGTTATTTCATCCGTGCGTCCTGTCTTACTCCATAAGAATACTATATCACCACTAGCAAACCACAGGTGGGCAAAATTCAAGATATTACATTTGATGTTGCAAACAATTTCAGTATACCTAGCGAATGGAATGACAATCCGTGTTGGTTGAGCCTAGCTAAGTAAGGAACAGGCGGGAGAACTCAACTCACTCTCCGAGGTTCATCAATGGCACTAAGCTCTGTTCTAGAAAAGTTATAAAACGCTTTCCTAGATCGACTTGGGAGTTAAAAAATCGACCAATCTAACTAGCACTCCCAATATTAAGCCAAGTCTCATCTCCAGGTGTGTCAATGACATTTAAGGCACATAGAGCACGTCTCTCTGAAACGAATTATTCTGTGGTTCCATGATAAAGGGTGTTTTCGGACGTGTTGTATTTCGAAGTTCAGGCCGAACACGTTCAACACTTGCTGTGAACTATTGAATGTAAAATACTCTTTAAATTGTAATATTCTATTTACTAATTGTAAAAAAATATGATATTGATTACGCTCTCTGTATTCACGCAGGGTGGTATTTAGGATTGAAACGCTATGAAACCAATGACAATTCGTATTTATCAAGTAAACTAAGTTATCTGTATTTTACCAAAAGTGCATTCAAGCAATGAATCATCCAAACATCGGAGATACAAAAGTAGTGGCTTTCCCTACCTTGCAAGCGAAATACGAATCTTTGTTATTAGGGCGACAAAATAGGCTACAAGGTAGCAGCAACTGTTGCGTATCAGCGAAATGTCAATTTGTCAGGCTTTTTGTCATGCATTATGATTAACTACTGCCATCAACACCACTTTGGTGTGACAGGAAACTGATGGCCTGTCCATCTTACATTTGCATTTGACTGACAGCAACGAAGGCAACCTCGAAAAGGCAGGCAAATCTAATTATAGACGACTGTTGCACTGTATTGCAACTGCATTCTATATACAAAATAGTATGCGCGTGAAGGAAATAAAGTTTAAGCAGTATTAGACAAATATTTTCTTGCTTTTGTTTCATCCAGATATGAGCAAGATAGCATTTATTACAGATATTTAGAATTACTAATAAGAGACTGGAATTCCATGGTTGATCTACCAGTCAACCATATCTAAAAACTAAAGCCTCTAGCTGCCTCTCAGATACGCAGGAAATATATCCTGAAGGTAATTATTAAGTAATAAGCAGACTCAAGGAATCTCGAACCCCAATTGAGTAAGGCTACCATGGCACAAATACTTGCACAACTATACACTTCCTCTGTTTTGATTCCATTGATGAATGGTAATTGCAAAAAAACTAAGAAAACTATAACAAGTACCTTAAATCAGTAACTTGAATAGTAGGAGGAATTTGTCTAAATTGAGATAACTGAACGGAAATTGAGCAACCAAAACATCCGTATCTATGTGAGTAGAAACAACACATCATAAATCTCAAACAATAGCTCTTCACCTTCGACAATGGGCGAATCCACGAAATTTTTGCTACTTAGTTAACGTAAGTAATAAAGTTACATGAAGATGTCTAAGGTAGCGATAAGAGACACAATGCTCAACAGGTTCCGACCACCAAGCTTCTAAATATTGAAGGATACGCCAACATCACCTGGAAACATCAACAAAAATAATCCTCCCTCAAATCTCCAAAACAACAGTAAGTAACACCACAGATCGAAGGATAAACGGGCAAATCAATGACCAATCAATCTCGTATTCGAACACAAAGCTTATTCAACATTCCACCCACACACCAATAGGCACATACTGAACAGCCGCTTGACAGAATACAAATCATATATCAATAAGCATAACAATTGATCAAATCTAAAAGAGAAACTCTTTGTAAAACGTCCGCACTAGGAAAAAAACACCCCAACACTATATGGTCACCTTACGATACCAGACCACAATACATAAACAGCCAAAGGGCAACCACCCCACAAACAACATCAAATGCAATTGTTCCAGAGAACTGGTTGGCCATTTGGGAAGATAAAGATAAATACTAACATAGCTCAGGACAACAGAAATCCTAAAAAAATCAAAGCTCCACTGCAACACAATTCTCCTTTCAAATATAATAGCATATAAGTGACAAGACGAGAATTTTTTAAAGAACTACACTATGATTAATGGAACTATTTCGAAACAAATAGAGCTTAGGACACCACCAGAAATAAATGAAACTTGAAACATTTACTTTCCACAATGAGCGAAAATCCAAGGAGACTGAACACGGACCCGATTTATAAAACATTTATTCAAGCCATTATAGCGAACTGTCTTGCAGGGTAGGACCTGATTTTACGGAGCATCTTTTCGGAGTGAATAGATCGCTCGCGCTTGGAAAGACGACGGCGAATAGCGCGAGTCTTCTTTGGACGCAATTCCTTGGGAACGAATCGCTTACCACGGTAAGCTTCGCGCTGGCGGAGCTTAGCCGACTGATTCATAACAGTATAAATCCGTGCAATGGACTTGCGAAGAACACGACTAAAAAGAGCAAAAAATTGAAAGATCGCCTATTTTTTTAACGCGTAAACAATCAAAAACTAACATTTTCCTCAGCTTCGAAGCAGTGCCACGAGTAATTCTAAACAGCCTTTGGTTGGCAAGTTCAGTTTTAAGCTCCCCAAGCTGTTTCAGAAGCTCGGCTTCTGGTTTTGAACGCAACTCTGATGCACGCACTTTGGTTGCCTAAATCAAACCGAAAACTATGCAGAAGGGTTATCAATAAAGAGTAAATTTTAATCGCAAAGGCCACGCCACCCACCATAGCAAGATAAGTAATCCAAAAGTGAACAACCCGACTAAATGCATATTAAAACAAACCTTATTCATGACGAATTATCAAAAACGTCTTTTGCGTTCAAAGTTGGGTGATAATTGTATTTTAAAAGGAATCAGAACAATTCAAAATTTATTAATTATTGCATCATTATAATTTCACATTTGTTTACAACACCATAAAATTACAAATAAATTTAATTAACTATGAGTTGAATACACTAATTTAATTGATAAGTATGCAGCTTTTAACATTAAATTTTATTAACTTTTGATCATTTTAGTAAAGGATTGTAATTTCTGAAACTAAACTCTCCTTCTAATTGGTCAATTGGTATCTATTTAGCCGCCTTAATACAATTACCTTAGGGCCTGTTGTAGAAATGCAGAATTTTCGCCTTGTGTCTAAATTCGTGCCTCCGTAAGTTTGTATTAGTTTTTTTGACAATAAATATTTATTTATGCGTTACCGTTTATATTATTTGCCTTGGGTGATCTCCAGAGTCAATGCGAGGCACATGGGTACCTTGAAGGATGTTGCAATGCAACTTAAGTCTATTACTAGCATCCAAAAGATTACTTCCTCAATGAAGATGGTAGCCTCAGCTAAGTTCGCTCGAGCTGAACGTGAACTTAGACTGGCTGTGCCATATGGTACTGGTGCCACTGCCTTCTACGAAAAGTCCGGCATTCTTGAGCACCAGAAAGAAAATAAAACCGCAAATAACCATCTTGTGATTGCTGTAACTTCCGATCGTGGTCTTTGTGGTGCTGCCAATAGTTCTATTGGAAGGGTACCTTGTTTTGCTTCTTAAACTCTAGTTTTGTTGAAATTGACACTGATTTCTTTTTAGACACTTCGTGACATGCTAAGCAATCTTCCTGCTGGGGAAAATGTTAAACTTGTTCTGATCGGTGAAAAAGCTCGCGCATTTCTTGCTCGTAAATTCTCGGATCATTTTCTCATGACATTCACCGAGGTTGGCAAAAAACCGCCTACTTTTGAGGATGCGTTTATGATTGCCGAAGCTCTTTTAAATTGCGATTTCAAATTTGACAAGGCTTCCCTATACTACAACAAGTTCAAGACTGTTGTCTCCTATAATACTATGGATCAATCTATTTTCAGTCTGGAACAACTTCAACAAGCCCCATCTCTCTCACTCTACGATTCAGTAGATGATGAAGCTCTCCGTAGTTACAATGAGTTCCTTTTGTCTTCTTTGATTTTTTATGCTCTGAAAGAGGCCGCTGCATGCGAACAATCTGCAAGAATGACCGCTATGCAATCGGCTACAAAGAATGCCAATGAATTGATCGATGCATTAAAACTCACCTACAACAGAACTCGTCAGGCTGTCATCACCAAGGAGTTGATTGAAATCATATCCGGTGCTGCTGCCGTATAGAAATATTCCCTACTTTCCCTGTGACCATAGGTCTTGTGTACCTCTTAATAAAATATGTAGTTTATTAATCTTATTTAGCTTCTTCTTTCTTCTTGAATCATTTGCATTTCTTGTGTTACTAAAGTTCCCTTTTTCATAACTCTTTTTGAGCAGAAGTATGAATTATGCATTTACGGTGTGGAAATTCATATTTACCTTTGTTTTCTTGGTCATCGTTCACGAGTATTGTTGTATTTAGCGATTTCTCTCCGTGAAAAAAAAAACAGTTAAGCTTCACCTCGATATGCGCAACGTTCAGCACAATCAACCACATTATTCAAGTGAGTATTTTAAATTATATTTTGAGAAGCTTTAGGATATTAATCGTCTCTCTAATGTGAGTGTAGGATATCTATTCTTCGATGTGGATGGAAATCTTTTTAGAATCCATTCTGTTTAGTTTTTGCCATTCTTCGTATATTACTGATTTATTAAGCTGTTATCTGCCCATCGTTCTTTTTATCTCTTCTTAAAATGGCGTAGTTTTTTATTTAACGGTTGTTACTACCCACTCTGAGGCATAAAGTTCTATCATGAGGAAGTATCTGGGCTCATGGGTAAAGGGAAAGAGTAATTGAGGATACTGCCTTCAATGTAAGATTGCTGCTTCCTACCTCTTAAAACTTGCATTCATTTCGTTCAGAGTTTTTTGACCACTTAATCAACTTAGTTACTTGATCAATCATGTCTAATACGGTAGTTTCATAGTTGGAATTATGATTTGAATTTCCATTTAATATTGTAGTATGTTATCTGTAGGAGATAAGGAGCAGCAAGATTGATGCTAAAACTGGAGGGCAAGAGAGGGAGAAGAAGTTCAAGAGGAATTGAGAGGAGTCAGTGCTAAGGAAGGACAATCGAGTTCGTGAAGAACAGGTGAACTGAAGTACGGTATGGCTGTTGACCAATGGGAAACTGAAAGTTAAGGCAAGGTTATGAGTAAGTAAGTCGTGAATAAGCGTACACAAGTTGTGTAGATGAAAACGAATGCATTCGAGTATGCTCATTTTGGATATATGTGGAGCTATTGGGTAGACCGCATGAATATTCAAATAATGCTTTTTATGAATACATCAATAGTGTTCTTTATCTTTAGACAGCGTTTTTCTCAAAGGAATTGTATAGATTTTGTCCTTTGATCAAACGTGTGTATTTTTATGCCTGTGAGGAAATAGCTTGGAAAAAGCGTGTAGATATTTAATTCGTAGGACTCATGCCTTCATAGTTTCTCAGTTGGGAAGATTGTTTGCAATTATTTTTTTCAGAATATCCTTTGAAGAGGTTCACATTGAGGATAATCAACGTATCTGATCCATGACTTAAACATTGACTTTCTCTGAACTTCCGAATTCAATTAGGGAATTAACCGGTTTCGCTTAAAGCTCCTTGGAGTAGTTACTTAAGCTTTAAGGGCCGGAATCTCAAAGTGTTGACTGTTCAATTGACAGTTCGGTCAAATCAGACTTCCCAGGCGTCTGAAATGGTTGGAATTAGAGACGGCCTTACGCGTAATATCCTAAGAGCATTTTGTTTTAAGGAGAAAAACTGTTCATGAGGTTTGGTTTTCGAACGATAACTCAAATTTGTCCTTAAATTTCAATTGTTGCCCTCTTCTTCATTCCTCTGCAAGTCAGTTAACTTCAAATATCTGCAGTTATTTGTTTCTGAGACATGACTTCGCGTTCCATGTACTCCTTAATTTGGTAAATTTCTGTAGGAGACGCACGGTGTGCGATTGACTTACCTCCATGTGGTACACCCTGGGCAACGTACGCTCATATGACAAAAAGTCTATTAATCGGCAGTTGACCTCTCATTTCAAACTACCATGACCTCACTGTATCTCGTATTCAGTACTCACCTTACACTACGATTTTCTTTACCTTTGTGTCTGTCTGTTTCTTTTACATCTGTGAATCACTCTTCTGTTCATCCCCCTTGACCTTTCTTTATTTTGATGTTCCCCCCTCTTTTGAACGCCTGCCGATTGAAATAAATAACACACTCTGTTATCTATTACTTATCTTACAGAGAAATATGCTTTTCGCAAATTTTATTTCCCAACAAGGTGAAAAATGTTTGAAAACTGTCCGTTATCACACGAAACATACACACAAAAAAGGTAACCGTTCAACTAGGTGGATTGTAGTAGCTTTTAAGAATGAGTATTTAGAAATTAGAAAGGTTAATCAGAGAATTATAAGAAATCCACCTCAGCTGAACCCTAGAATCATTGGTACGACTGATTTTTCAATCAGATCAGACTTATCCTCTCTTCCATCATTATGCTTTTCTTCCGATAAGACCAGATGACAAACTCTCATATGACTTCGCAGACATGCCCCTTCTCTCATGCCCTTATTAGATAATTTAATACCTCAGTAAACAACCCCACAATGTCAAGCTTGCTTTAAATCTTTTCTTTGTCTATATGGCCGCGTCTGATCATTATAAAGGTGCTCCCTAATTCCTGTTCGATGCATTTGTGTAATGATTTCTGGATTATTAGTAAATCGGTTCATTTGCCTTGCTCAATTTTCTCATGATTTTGTCAGTTTATAAATGAATAATGCGTAGACACCGATTCAAGCCTTTTAATACTGCCAAATTTTCAAAAAGCAATCAACAATATTTCCCATGAAAGGAATCACTAAGATAATTATCCATTTGCAGGTTCAAATTACGATGAGTTCCAAGCTACTTCACCAATGATTGTGTTCGACATCATCCACACAGATCCCAGTAATACCAAGCTCCTCAGCGCGTATCTTAAACTCGGGTGTGGAAACGCAGGGTCCATAGGATATACAGGACAATCGGTACTCCTTTAACTTGCGGGCCAACCCCACTCCCTCCTTTTCATCTAAAATCGGTTGACCATGAATCACTACACCGTCTGCACCAATTAAGTGTGCCCACTCAATAGCCGCAGCGGCATTACGGTGTCTTGGATCAAGGCCATGTGGTGGTGGAGGAAGAACAGTAATTTTCGACGGCAAATCCGATTCGATACCAGCTCTGGAGATGAAGAGAACAGGATAAGTGGTCTGCTTAAGTCGCAAAGCAAGACAAAGATCAGCATTGAACGTGCTGATAATAACAGCTCGACCCCTTCCATTGGCATTAAGCGCCTAGAATAAGCACAGATTTAGCATTTGATACGATTAGCTTCACTCTAAATGTATTATCAGCACAGTTAACTTACCCTAATAACTTGGTCAGCAAATTGATTAATTGAGTAAAAATATCTACTTGGGTGACCATATTCCGCAAGCTTTTCTTTGGGCACATTAAACTCATGCATAAGATGAAAAGCGCTATAGGGGGTATCAGCGGGATACTTAAGTTCAATATCTAGAGACAAGCTGAGTGGGACTTCATTGAGGACATCTGAGAAAAAAGGAAGGTATTCTGACTGCTCAGAACCTCGATGAAGAAAGATCTTCTGATTAGTGCTTTGAATTTGGGGTTCTTTGCGTTCTCCAGTGGCTTTCTCACAGGACTGCGAATGCTGACCCCATTTCAAGGCCTTGATTTCGTTGGGTGAAAAAGTGGGGATTAAATTAAGCATTGATTTGTTGCATATGCCCGAGTCTAAAGTGAACAAAGCAAATACTGATAATGTTGACAATAGGCACAAAGTTAATAGCAATTCAATAACTTAACGAGAGAAGTTTTCCTTAAAAGTATAAAGTTTACACAAAGAAGATCAGGGGTCTGTCAAAGCCATTTAAAACATATATGAAATAAACGAATTCCTTTTGTATCCTGAGAATACAGTTGGGCAGGTAAATTGATGGCTATGGGAGATGGGCTTAGCCAAATTAGACTCAAACAGATAATTACTTCTGACTACACGTTTAGAAATGGGGAGTTCTAACCATATTCGAGAAATAACACGATTAGTGCTGCAATATTTTATAAATAGGAAAAAGATGCGTTTGAGGAGTGATTTGTGGGTAAAGAAGTAGAATTCACTTTAAGGCAAATCGAACCAAAAATTTCCACTTCTAGATGAATCCGATGTTTCACCAAGCACATTGATCCTGAGGAAATGAAAGCACACGAAGCTAACAATCTTAATGACCAGCCCGCTGACAAATATTAGTGCAGAGTGGACTTAGGGTTCTAATTTTTCCCTTTCTCCCATTAGAAGTACAATTTTCACAAATTCTGCTGATCAAATTGGTGCTTTGTAAAGGGACCAAGTGAATAGCCTTTACAGGAGTTTTAAACTGGTAATGATAGGACATACCTGCGAATAAGTCAATTTCGTACAGAGGACATCCGCATTGCTTCATTTTACAATCCCCCTTCTTTGTGACAATATTGAAATTGTGATAAATAACCATGTCATCGGATTCTCGCATAGGAATGACATCCAATTCGATCATCGGAACACCAAGTTGTGCAGCCTTCAAGAAGCTCAGAATCGTATTCTCGGGCCATTGCTTGTCTGCCGAGCGATCCTCTACCTCTCTCCCCATTCCACGATGTCCTACACACAACAAAGAGCCCCCGGTGCTACCAACAGGTTCCAGTCGAAAACCGACGGCCGACGATTCATTCTTTTTCTTCTGGTTCCCCATGTCTGTGAAGTCATCTTGCTGTTCCAAAGGCATAGTGGGTCGAATGCTCAAGTAATAAACTAAATAGACGAATTTATTGCGTTCATTCCTAGTTGGACGCATCTTAATTCACAATACTTATTGAAACTATTTACCATTTCATTTTCTCCTTTTGAATTTTTAAATATGAATAACCTTACGGCCGCATCCAAATTATTCAGCGTTTGTGTTAATCAGCGGAATCAGTTTGATGACTTTTCATTTTTGTCGTTTAAAGACTACAAATATTCTGCTTACAATGGTTATTCAGGTAATCGATGGATATATGTTGATCATCAACCTGAACAAAACTCATAGTTTAAGAATATCAAAATGAGAAATAGAGGAAAATCATTTGGATTATTATTTATGAAGATTACTAATTTACCAGCTAATATTTCATGACAATCACTTACTGTTGTATATCTCTTGCCAAATAATGTGGGCATCCACGATACTTATCTGACAAAAGAGCGGACTCCCTTATTACATATTGACTTGAGATTACATAACTTTTCTTCGTAGTCACGTGTCTCATATATCTATTTAACGTGGTACAGTTAAAACAATCTATTAAAATGTAATCTAATTAAAACACATTACGCTTAGAATATTTAGAGAATTTAGCAAATTCCAACATATTACAATGATCAATACAAATTTAGTATGGACAGGATTATCAGCTCCCAATGTGAGAAACTGGAATATGCCTTAACCTTGTCGTCAGCAACTTGTCTTCTGATTAGTGCTACACTATGGATGCATATTATTACTAATGTTATATGAATTTCCTAAGATCATTAAGAGAACCGTTAGTGATGCTTAACTTGAGTATAAAAATGTTGTCATGGAGGCGTTCTAGCAAGAAATTCTCATTCTATCACATCTCTTATTGAACAGAATTACCCAGTGTAATCTACATCCCTGGATTTCCTCCGATGTGCGACTATCTCGTGATCTCTAACTTGACAGACGCGCGGGTTGACTACTGCGCTACCGGTGTATAATTAATATTTTGTATACATTCGCACTACTGGATGCATTGTAGGTAAACGTGATCGTTTCGATTTTTCTGATGTCTTCTCTCTTATCAGTAACCTTCCTACTGTTCCACTGAAAAAAAAATGAAACATGAAGTTTGTTCGAGAGCATGCATTCTCAAAGCCTAGTCTCTGCAACAAAGTTATCCCCTTATTAAACCCAATAAGTTCTTGCATTAATTCTGTTTTTCCCTTTCTTAAACTACAATAGCGCAGCTAGTTCACATAACTTCTCTTTGAGTTACGCAACGGAAATCGTCTTAATATCATTTCTATTCGGATAAATCATCGAATTTCAATTTAATAACAAAAAAGATTTTACATCTTGGAACTTATTTAAAAAACATAAGATCGTTAAGATCGCACTTACATCACAGAGGAAAATTGTTAAGAAGCATTTTAAAACTATTAAGAACCTCCATCTCACAAAACTCAGAAGTTACTTTCGACAAAAATAATTGAAATACCTTGGATTTCATGAAAAATTATCCTTTTAGATTGAGGAAGTTCTTCAAACGTTTAAATATATCATAAACTACCGGTAACTTCGTATGTAATTCAACCTAAATTAACTCTTTTTGTCAAGTCTGGAAGTGGTTTACATCGTTACAAATAAATGATAGAAAAGTAAATGTAGGAGATACCATCGAGTTCGCCTCCTTCTGAGTCAACGTTTATCGTTTCGACCCCTTCCTCTCTGCATAAATTTGTTGAACAGTCAAATGTGATAGACTTTGTGTTTGAGTCATCGGAAGTATCGGCTGCGAGCTCTATTTCAATCGTCTAAAAGTAACGAAAATGTTAAAAATATTAGAGTCGCAGATGTAAATGACTTTAGATGTCAGATTAAATATATTTTATTTTTAATAGAATCAGGTAAGGTTTCGTCCATGGATCACTAAGTCTGTGAAAAGTGCCCCCGTTGATGTAACAAAACCATTACTTTCTTTGCAGAACTGAACATGCGCTAGTACCTTCGCACAAAGTCTTTTTATAGAAAATACTCTGGGATAATTTTTCAACAATGGAATTAAGGACATTTGGTAAAAGAATTTCGAAACATTGTAGGATGGATAATCTTAAAATGACTATCCCCTCCCCCCCCCCACAAGCAGATGAGATCCTACGTATGAAAAAATTTGAAAAATTTTGATTCCCTTGATAGGCATTTGGTGCATAAATCATATATGGCATAAATAAATGTGATGGACATTTCTTGTTCACTTCAATCGTCAATTCAACAGTGGATAACGTAAACTTCCTCTCAGAGAGACACTTTATTACCCATGCACAATAATAGAAACGATGTCCAATTAATTAAGCAAATTTGTTACAATAATTTTGAAGAACGTTCTAATAAGCTGTCGGTTGAAGTTATGTAAAACAGATTCAGATTTTCACAAACAGAGAAAATTCACTCATCATTTTTAGCTTTCTCGAATGCATTTAACATATAAAGAGTTGAAATTTGACGCCTCTAAGAAAATGGGGTTAGCCATCTCAAGCTTTGAATACAATATCAACAACAAATAAAAACATTTCAAGCGCAACGCGGATGCGCATATGAATTTCAAGGAAATAAGAGAGCATGAAGTAATTACTTCTTGGCATTAAATCTTACTCGTCTAGTTATGGGTTTATCTGATTTGTATCCACAAAGAAAACCTGCAATTGAGTCATTATTTTCGATACGGATCCACCGCTTTGTTACCTCACTTCCCCATATGCGAAACGCGGATCCAGAAGTGGAATCCAATCCCTAAAAATATAGTATTAAAAACGAATTTTCATTTTTAATAACAAGAATATCTAATATTGTCAAAGGGAGATAGTAGGTTACCAATAGACATGATGGATTCTCCAGAGAAACTAGCTTTGGATCGACAGTAACGGACTCTATTCGAATATACTTGTAGGTATGAGAACGTAATCCACAAAAATAGACAATAAAGGCTTCAAAGTTAGCGGAGAGTGAATGCCTCAACCAACTGGGTAATTCATGCATTCTTGAATGTAAAGACACTAAACAATATACACTCTGCTGAGCTATTTCAATATTATAGGTAAAGTGAATGTGAATAATATATTTATTTATATGTAAAATGACTAAACGATAAATGCATAAAATAATTTTGCGCTAATCTATGAAACATCCATTATTACAGAGTGATTAACCAGGATACAATGGTTATAATTTGACAGAAGCAAATAAAAGATTTCTAAAAGCTTAAATTTTTACACGCACAGAATTTGTCACGTTTGAATGGTTGCCAACATCTTGATCTAACTTTTCCGGAAGAAAAAAACTATACTCTAGGTAAATTATTTCCACAATTGTAAAAAATCGATTTTTGATATATATAGATTATTTTATTAAATAACTATAATTTTTTCATATGTCATCAATTTTGAATTTGCGT